GGTCTGGAATAGATATGCAAGGGTGTATAGGCTCACAATATGAAATGTGTTTACTTTGGAATAACAGAAAATCATTTGAAAACTGTTGGCAGCCTAGTGAATATGTATAAGCCCAGTCTTCCCTTTCAAATCTTTATTCTAAACATACTGAAGTTTCATAGCAGTAAGTGTTGAGCAGGCCAGCTCAATAATTCATCTAGTCAGGTTAAACTTTTCCAATAGTCTTTGAAATCTGAAACATTGGAACTTGATTCTGAATTCTAATATTCAAAGATTTGAAACTTTATTTTAGCTTTGGTTTCTGGTGCATATCATCTTGTTTGCAAGAGAAGGAAGCTCTGAACTCCGTCACATATTTTAGAACATTCTTGGCACATTGCTTGTGGACTGTTTTTGCCGTCCCCTACACAAGATACTGAGAAAAAACAGCTCATTTTAATTGTTTTCTTCATCAGTATGCTTGTAAAAGTCCTGTTTTTTTATCAGTTAGTATTTTGTTATTTTTTTATAGAAATTACACTTTATGGAAGAGCAAGAAAATACATTCTTTATTTTCAGAGGCAAACATAAAATGACAATAAAACCTTAAAAAATTACTCCTAACACAGTGATTGTATTCTCTTTGTAAAATTTATTTTAAAATGACAGCCTTGAGTTAAATATTAGTCTCTGGGGAAAACATTAAATATGACAATCTGCCATTGCTAAATTATTAATTCAGCTGTTAATAGGAAATTCTTGTCTTTCTGAATTCATCAGTTCCAATCACTTAAAAATCTTAGTTTCTAGTCAGGAAGTAATTACATTTATATTTTGTTACTGCGTTAATTCAGTGGCTACTTTTAAATATTGAAAACTTCCAGAAATAATTTTCATCTTTTCAATAGTAAGATAACATTTGAGACTACTGTCTCTGTTGGGATAGTTGCTTTTTTTTCTCATAAAAGATTCAAAAGTTTTTTTCATTACAATTCATTTATTTTTATAGTACAGGCTTTTACATCCCTGTTTTTAATTTGGATGATTTCCAGCAGAGAAATTTAAGGTATTTTCATGGTAGTTTCAGAGAAAATTTGTGGATTTTTTTTAATCTGAATTGAGTAACATTCTAAGTCACATGTCCAAAAGATCAGTAACACACAAAAATGCACAAGTTTATTTCACAGTACCTTCTATATTAATGTATAGGTGAGCTGCTGTCTCTGGTTCTAATGTGGACTGTAACAGCAAGTGTAGAAGATAGTTGAAGTTTAAAGTTCAGTAAAAGTTTTGAGATAGTTGTTCAGAGGCCTGGATTGCTAGTGTTGAACTTTTGAACAAAGTATAGGAAGCAATGTTTTTAGAATCTAGGTATAGAGTCACTGTTTCTTCATTAGATAAGTTTTGAAGCTGTTTGGTTTTCATAGCTTTATGTAGTTTCCTTATTCAGTTAATTATTTTGCAACTACTTGCACTAGATACTGTGTAAAATTGTGTGTGGAGTTACTCACAAGTGCTTTAAATTTTTTATTACATTTATATTCATTTTTGTATAATGTTTGATTTTGCCTTTCAAGTGTAATCCTCATAAAACTCTTACCACCAGGTCACCTGTGAACCATTCCCATAGTCTTGTGTTTCCACTCCCCTGTTGTCATCCCTCTCCTCCTTCCTACCCTGCTGTATGTCTCCAGTTTATAGTTTGCCTGCTAGTTTTGTGTATTGTTTTCTTTTCCTACCCCTTGTTTGGTTTCCTTATATACCTCTATAAGTGAAACTCACCTTATGTTTAGCTTTTTCCTTCTGCCTTATTTCACTGAGCGTAAACCCTTCCATCTCCATCCATGTTGCTGCAAATGGCAGGGCAGGAGTTTATCATCTTTGATTGCTGAGAGGTATTCCATTGTACATCTAAATACACCTTGTGTATATATACATCTTCTTTATCCAGTCATCTGTTTTTGGACATTTAGGTGGTTTCTGTATCTTAGCTATTTTAAATAGTGCTGCAATAGATATTGGAGTGCAGGTTTCCTTTTGAATTAATGATTTTGTGTCCTTTGGATAGATTCCTAGGAGTGGAATTGCTGAGTCATACGGTAGATCTATTTTTTAGTAATTTGAGAGCCCTCTGATATTGTATTAAATTATTATACATAGACTTTTTTTTAGATTTACTTATATATATATAACTGGGGTACAGGTCAGAGGTGTAGGGCAGTGAAAGAATTCACCAGTGACAGAATGGGGAGCAGAACAGGCCAACTGATGAAGTACACTGCTGAGGGGAGCAGTGGGTGGGTCAGGAAAGGTCTGCCACACCACGTGGGTCACCTCTGGGGCAGGGATCGAACTCATACTCAAGTGACTTTAGCTTCTCAGTGCTGTACTTTAACCCGCTGCGCCACCAGGGAGGGCTCTATACATAGACTTTTTAAAAAAAGATTTATTTGTTATGCATACAAGAATTAGGGTACAGGCCAGAGATTTGGGGAGTGAGAGGATTCACCAGAGACTTAGTGAGAAGCAGAACAGGCAGATGGACTGAAAGTACACTGCTGAGGGGAGCACTGGGTGGGAGAGGTCTGCTGCACCATGTGGGTTACCAGGCCAGGGATGAACTCATACTGCAGTGGCTGGAGATGCAGACAGCTTCATAGTGTTGTGCTTCAACCTGTTGCACCATCGGGGGGTGGGGGGAGCAAGGGGGGTTCTTATATCTAGACATTTTTTTAAAAGATTTATTTATTTATGCATACAGAGCTGGGTTATAGGCCAGAGGTGCAGGATAGTGAGAGGATTCACCAGAGACACAGTGGGGAGCAGAACAGGCAGACCTACAAAGACACTGCTGCAGGGAGCAGCGGGTGGGTCAGGAGAGGTCTGCCACGCCATGCTGGTCACCTCCAGAGTAGGGATCAAACTCATGCTGAAGTGGCTTTAGCTTCTCATTGCTGTGCTTTAACCCGCTGCACCACCAGGGAGGGCCCATATATAGACTTCTAAAGCTTTCGTCTGTTATAGTAAATGATATCAGCACCACCTTGTTCTTAAAATAATAAATCAAGATAATAGAAAAATTTATTAATAGTCATGTTTCCATATTGAGTTTAATACTCAGCTGTCTCATTTCTAACAGTTTTTTTTTCCTAAGAACTTTACACAAAGGTAAATTATAAAGGTGATTATAAATGAATCTTACAAGAGAAAATGCTATGATTTTAAAACAATGTAGTCATTTCATCCCATCTGTAAAGTTGCTAAATGGTATAACTTAAGCAGCAGTTAGGAGCATTTAACATTACAGGTCTCCTTCTAGGTATTTAAGAACAAATTCTGTGATAAAAGAATTGTTGCAAATATTTTATTTTTACAAACAATGCTCCATTACCTGTTTCTGAATCCAGTTGCTGGAGACATTTCTGGAGCAAATAATGCTGGCCAGAATGTGAATTTTTTTTTTGCCTAATCTTTAGTAAGCCATTAAACAATTTTTTTCTCATTATTCTGTAGAGGAAAGTTAGTCTTTGGAGAGATGCTACTGAAAAGTCAAATATTGGTAGAATGTAAAATTGTTTCATTTAAGTATTGCTTAATACTGTCAAAAAAGAATGCCTTTTCCAATAAATATGAATTTTAGTCAAAAGGTATATAAAAAACAGACTGCCTCTATGCCTTCCACTTACACCAGTTGTGGTTGTGATTAGTAAGAAATATACAACCAGTCATTCAGTGACCAGAATATAATTCTCATATATATTTGATTTTTGTCCAGTTTATCTCACAGTTCCCAAAATTATCAGTGCACCCAAGTGTTAAGTGATAATGATGTCTCATTGTTAATGAGGAAGTTTGTTTTTTTTTTTAAGATTTATTTATGGATACAGAACTGGGGTTCAGTTGGCGGTGAAAGGATTCACAGAGACAGAGTGGGGAGCAGAACAGGCTGATCTACAAAGTACACTGCTGAAGGGAGCAGCGGGCAGGTCAGGAGAGGTCTGCCACTCCATGTGGATCACCTCTGGGGCGGTGATCAAACTCATGCTGAAGTGACTTTAGCTTCTTAGTGCTGTGCTTTAACCCATTGTGCCACCAAGGAGGGGCGTAAAGAGGAAACTTTTGGGGAAGCACCCAAGGCTAGAGAGACTGGTTGTCAGGAGACTCAACTCTGTAATAAAGGTCACACTTCCCAAGATCTCTGGGGAAGAAAAATGGCTGGAGATTGGGTTCAGTTGCCAATGGCTTTGTAGAACTTAAAGGTTGGGGAACCAGAACATTCCCATATGCCACCTTGCTCAGTCCCACACTCCACAAGGACAGAAACTGCATTGTTTGGGACCTCACCCTATGTATTTCTTCTTCTGACTGTTGATTTGAAATCTTTTAGTCTCCTTTATAATAAATTGGGGAGCTGATGAATAATGGATATCCTGAGTTCTGTGAGCTGTTCTAGCAAACTAATTATACTGAGCAAGGAAGTTGTGGAAACCTCCACTTTGTAGCCAGTTGATCAGAAGCACATGGTAGTGCCCTGGATTTGTGACTGGCACTTGAAGTCTGATGATGAGGGGGAGAAACTTCCTATCTGTAACTGATTGGTCCGGAGCACAGGTAACAGCCTGAGCTCTCAAGTGGCACCTAACATGGAGTGTGTTCTTGGGAAATGGAGCCCCTTTCCTGTGGAGTCTGATGTATCTCTGGGTAGTTGTGTCCGAGGTAGAAATAAATGAAACTGACGATATGCTTGTGTTGAATTTTTTAGTTTGTTTACTTTGAATAATATGAATTTTAAAGGTTGGATTTATTTTGACACATGTACACACAGATATAGAATGCTTTCAGGTTGGAAAGTACTTTGAAATTTTAAATTATAAAGGTAGTAATTACTTTGACCTAATATGACTTTTGATGGCTTTAGTAAATAAAACTATTTGTCAGTTTTGTCTTCTATGAAAAGTATTGGTGATATAAAATATCAGATGTCAGATGTATTTTAAATCTTCTTTTAACTTTTTTTAAAGGTGATGGATGTGGACACACTGTACTAGGTGCTGAAAGTGGAACTCTTACGTCCATAAACTACCCGCAGACCTATCCCAACAGCACCGTTTGTGAATGGGAGATCCGTGTAAAGACAGGAGCTAGAGTGCACATCAAATTTGGTGACTTTGACATTGAAGATTCTGATTCTTGTCACTTTAATTACCTGAGAATTTTTAATGGAATTGGAGTTAGCAGAACTGAAATCGGTAGGAAATTTTCTCGTAAATATGCACTATTAACTTGAGTTTTAAAACTAAAATGGTTTTTGATACTCAACATAGAACAGTAGCTTTGCTATATAGGCTATGTAGGAAATTACTGAATAAGTATGAAAATCTCAAATTTGAATCTTCTTTTGAGAAAATATGTGTTTATTTACTTTTCTACTAAACCTGTGTTTGTAACTTTACACAAAAATGCCACTACTACTTCTAAAAAGGAGGAAGTTATCGATTTCAAATTTTTTTCTTTGACCATTTTGTTGCTGTTGAAATGTATAGTATAATTTATGCTTAGGAAGCAGTATCTCATGTTGACTCGAGAGTGGCTTTTGGATCGAAACTTCCCGTTATTAAATGCTAACTCTGTTGTAGCCTTGCTGTGTATCTTTGGGCAAGTTACATGAACTCTTGTTTCCTGACTTATAAAAAGAGGAATGAACAACATGCTTAGCAAAAAGCTACCATGGTTATTTTATCTAAAATCAGTGGTTCTCAATTATGGCTAGTTGGCTGCTTATTAGAATCATCAGGGTGGACTTTTGAATTGTATTTATTAGTCAGTTGAATCAAATTGATTGGGTAAGTTCCTTGTCTCAAGTATTTAAAAGCTTCCCAGGAAAATCTACTTTGTATTCAAGTTGAGAACATTTGATTTAGGAACCAGCATCTCTCTTCAGCAAGGAAATTTGTTAAGATTATTTGAAGAAAGTAACATAAAATAAGAACTCTTGAATTCTGTCATTTTATTTGGAAATATGAATTCTGTTATTTGGATAAGTGTATAAAATATCTTTTATGTCTATAATTAGAACCCAGTTCCTGTTTGTTCATCACCATACTTTGTTCATCCTCTGACCTCTCCCCTCCATCTCTAGCAAGATCCATTTTTTTTTTTTGGCTTCTTATCTGAAAATGCCTCCCTGGCTGCTGATTCATAACCTCTGTCGTTTCCAGCCAGCTCTTAACCTGTTAGCTTAGAGTGAATTCTGTGTGTAAAGTCGGGGGAGACTCTGTAGGTAAGTGAATTGGTCAGCCTTTTATGCTGCTGGCCTCTTGGCTGTCACCAGCAGCCTTGATTGTGCTAATGCAGGAGGCTCTTGGGAGCCACTGATTGTGGACACGTGGAGTATGGTGTGGGCGTGTGTAAATGTACACATCTGAGCCTGGAGGCTGAGGCTTTTAGAGCAACGTCACACAAAAGTGGCTGCGGTGGATGAGCATCCATGGCTATTAAAGGAAGATACCACGGAGAAAGCCCAGAGAAAAGAGCCTATAGGGGTTCGTAGGGGGGGCCCAACTTACTTGTCTCCTTGCATACTATTAAACAACCTGAGAGGATGATATCAAGGGATCCTAAACTACCTGATGTGAACCTACTTGGCATGGGATGGTTGCAGAAAAGAATGCACATCAACGTTAATGGCTTTAACAGTGAAGATTCTGATTCTTGTCATTTTAATTACCTGAGAATTTATATTGGAATTGGAGTTAGTGGAACTGAAATAGGTAGGATATTTTCTTATAAATATACATGTAATTTACGTGATTAACAAGTTTTAAAACTGAAGCAGTTTTTGATACTTAACATTGAATAGTGTACTATATAAGATGACATGTGGGAAATTACTGAAAAAATTCAGAAAAGTCAAATACCTATGATAGTGGAAACACTTGCGGTAACACTAACAGAAAACAGCTATCCAGCCTCAGTGAATGCCTCCTGAGGTGATATAGTAGGGTGGATGCAGTGCCACTTGGGGAATCTTACAATGGAAGGAGGCTAAACCACAATCTGATCAAGCCTGTGTCAGTTTAGAGGCAATAAAGAAGATTGAAAAGTGTATTATATCAACTGTAAAGACTAATCTATATACATTTGATATAAGGCATTTCTCTATCAACTTTATATGTATGTATATATGTGGCGATTTAAAAAGAAAAGAGAAGAAAGGAACTGTTATACTTTGAAATATATCTTCCGTGGGTGATATATTGGCCTTGATTGGATTTTCATTCAAGCTAACCAACTGTAAGAAGACATCCTTAAGATAGACGACTTGACATTCGGTCATAGTTAGGAAGATTGTTTTAATTGAGGTATTGTCATATGTAATTGCTGGATATAATTTTTTAAGTTTGAATTCTTAAGTTTATTAGAGCCATTCTGAAGTTCAAACAAAATATCTTGACTGAAAACAAGGTCGGATTGGGAAAGGAGAGTACAAAGGACTATAAGAATGGATTATGAGATCTATTGCGATGGGAAAACTACAGTAGCCGTATCAGAGGAGAGGGATCTTATGTTGTCCAGTTTAACAACAACATAACAGAAAAGTACCTCATTTAAAATTAAAACATGTTTGAGATTGGAAAAAAATATTTAAAAGAAAAATTAATAATTAAAAATTAACTTCGGTTGGTAGTTGGACAGTTATTTCCAGCTCTCATAGAAAGGGTAGTAATTGTATTATCATTTAAATGTTCATTATGATTTTATATAACTACTTCTAAAATTGCTAAAATGTTTGGAAATCTTTGTGAAATTACTCAGTGGAGTGGTACTATACTGATATACAAAATATGTTTAATAAAAGTTAAGATTGGCTCTCTAGATCAGAATTCTGTCCCTTTTTAGAGCAGATTGTGGTAGAATAAGAAAACTTCATTGTGCCTTAAATAAAACTTTTGATTATTTAATTGCTGATGTCTGAGACATCATAATTGCTCTTTAAAGAAAGGAGCTGAGCAGTAAAAGTCATTTTATTAATCTTTTTCTACACGTAGCCACATTTCTCTAGGTAATTTTGTAATTTGTTTTTTCCCTCAATTTTTAGGCATCTTTTCATCTGTTAGCTTAATTTAGCCTATGGAGATTATTGCTACTTAGTCCAAAGATGAAATTTAAAACAAACATTAAAAACAAAAAACTTTCTTAAAGGCTTACCTAAAACTTTATTTTTTTTCTACCTGGGTTTTGCTTAAATTTTCCAATTTAAATGAACTTTTTTGGGGGGAAGAAGAAAATGGAAACAAAAAAAAAAAAAAAAGAAGTAAAATGTTTAAAAGCCTCATAAATATTAAAGGAAGATAAATTCTACAGAAGAAATATAACCATGTGTATGTGCTCAAAGTTATCCTTAAAGATACCACAAATCTGTCTTTTACCTTCCTCCAAGTTACCTTTTAAGATGATGTTTCCTATAGCCTTAGCCTAATGATATTTATGAAGAGGAAAAACTGAGATCCTTAAGGCTTTATTTCATAAATGATCCTATGATGCTACCATTTTCAATCTCTGTATTGTTTGTCCTTTTTTTCTCTAATATGCTTACCTTCCTATTTTATTCTTTTTTTTGTTATTTT